ATAGCGTGATAGATCTTCTGCCATTCATCTTCCCTGCAAACCCAGCCACAGTACAAGATATCGATTACCTAGCTGCATCGTAGCATGTGCCATATACTGAAGGCCACACTTATGCTAGGTTGACCATGCGTTTTGGGTTCTATGCAGGCAAGTCTGTGCTCCTGCAGTTTGTGTTCCCACTTGAATGGTGCTGCATTAGCAGTCAGTGCCGCCGGGTTCGTTAGGCAGACAACGGCAGTAGTAGGCTTCTCTTGAAGTCTTCTTGATGCCCGGCCGCTGTGTCTTTTGGACATGGATGGAGCAGCAACTGATTCTGCTGTTGTGCAGGTGACAAAGGCGCAGCTGGCCACAGGGTTCTCCTTGGGGTTATACAGGGCAACAAAGGAGGCGGCCCTGTTGTCATACACCTTCGGGTTGTTCGGAGCCTGGTATTTTGGGGGGATCTCGTTATTGAAGAGAGAAAAGCCGTCTTTCCAGTACTGTACTGCCGCTTTGCAGTCATTCTCGCCCTCGTAGTACGCGAAAGTTCCCTTGAGCTTTTCTGCCTCAGTTCTGTCGCTCTGGGTCTTCAGATAGTAGAAAGAGAAACAGAACAAACGTGGTGAGTAGCTGCTAGGGGTGCCGTCGTTTGGAAAGCTTTGATTGGCTTAGTGTGCTCGTGGCATGACTTACCCCCGCCATTTCTTCGCAGATTTCGTTCCACAACGTTTCAGCTGTTATGTTTCTTCCCGGTGGAGAGCTTTGTGGCAGCGATTGTAATTCATCAGTTGCCTTCTCAAATGCAGCGAGTCCCGCAGCTGTCCTTGCTTCGTTCATCGCCGGTAAGCAATCAACCGTTTCTGTTCAGAAAATTCAATATACACAGGACAATTTTAAAGCAAAGTAATTTCCAGTCTGGAATAGAGAGAATTTCGCATCAAATGGGGAAAAGACAACAGGAATACGCTTACCAGCTGCTCCAGTTACGCTTGCGATTGCCCTAGGTGTCTTGTGTCCACAGAACACAGACATTAGGACGAATGCAATGAAAAAAGCGCGATGAGACATTTTTGCCTTTAATAATTCCAACGACAAAAAGAAGAAAGGGACTATTGTCTGAGAGGTGCCAAAGGGCGCTGTTTCCTTATTGACAAATCCAGGCAAATGGGGACATTCGTGGGCCACGTTCGAGTGGTTAGGCTTGTTCTGAGTAATCCTGGGTCAGTTTGGCGTAACTAGGCTTGCTGTCGGGGTCTCTCCTCTCTTCTTCATCTCCTCTTGAATGATCACTCAAGCGAACGAAGAAAATATAGAGGAATGTGGGTGTTTGCTGACCAATAGCTGAGTGCCTTTCGTGATCTTGAGACCGTCACCAAGAGGTTCTGTTGTTCTGTGTTACTGCATAACAGGTTGGAGATGCGCACCATCAAGCGTACGCCCAGCGGGATAGTTTTTGTTGTTGAAACCCTTTTTGTCGCGTAAGTGGCATACTAAACTTCTACACTTCTTTTTATTGGCATATGAGACTCCCGAAAATTCCGAACGCACAATTGCTCAACAATGCGTTACACTCAAGGCAGTTGAAATTCACGCCCGAAAAACATTCACTAGGGTCCATTTGTAAAACAGTCCCTTAAACTTGCTCGAAGGGGCGCCGCATAATGAAATGACGCAGCAAGAGAAGATTCAGCGCACCCAAACAGGCACGCATCGCATAAACAATCATAACACAACAGATACAAGTACTATTTTGAATTCGAAATTCTGAAGCAGTTTCCTCATATTTGAATTTTCCCGCGTTTATTTGGGAGGCATCCGATGATACCAGGACAAATCCGGAACAATCTGGTACAGAAACATTGGCGTATCATTTCTATTGAATGCCATGAGCTTCTCAATGGATCGTCACATGCAGACGCTGGGTATGCACGCCATGTGCACATGCTACCAGGAGCCCATTATGACACGCATATATGTCATTCTGAAATAGCAACAAACCTGCCTAGAGGAGTAGAAGGAACAACAGTAAAGTGATAATCTGCACCCCGCACACTTACCCGTACTTATTGCATCCACAGAATATATGGTAGCAATGAGTGCAAAGGCAACTATAGAATGCTAGGCAAATTCATGCAAGTAGGTCATATGAGCGTTGTTTCCCTCCAGGCGAAATGATCGCGAAGAGTTCTTTCTCAGGCTGGTTTGACACAGCTGCTAAAAGCCGAACGCATAGAGTTTCCCTTGAAATCCCTTACTATCTAGCTTTGGTGCGCTTTTTCCGACGTACGAGTGTAGAAAATGTCGGCTAAACGTTTTACTGTGGTTTACAATCTTCCCTAAAAAATGCTCACTACGTATTCCTCGATTTGCCAAGACAAGTTGAAGGACAAGGAAATTATCAATCAGTTTCTCCCCTTCAAATGAGGGCATCAACACCATGGCGCCTCAGCGGGTGGGTATAGCAAATAAAGTATTTATTCAAAATACTTCAAAATATCCCCACTGCTTCCCCTTTAAACAGTTGCTTGGCCACTAATGATACAGAAACGTGCAGTGACACAAGCATGCCCATTTGGTATGAGGTTGTACCTGCCCAAACAGGCAGGCGCGGCATGGCGTATGCCACCGGTGGGTACATCAACGCCGAAACTTCTGGCATGAGTACACCTACATATCGAGAATTTCACTTGGCAGCACACACTGCGCAACACTTGCACTCGCACGTGGCGACTCTCTGCAAGGGTTTTAAATAAAATTGCGCTTCCTCCCGATTATCCTATAAAAGGGCCCTACAAATGTAGCTTTTGCATACTTCACTTCGAACAACCAAAAGCACTATAAGCTATCTTGATCACACTTCGTCCAGGAGAGGTGCTCGTTTGTCATTTAAGGATTTCTCTCAGGAAGGAGTTTGCGCTGCCATATCTGTCCAATGCTGGCGTGTAGTCCGCCTAGAAGAGAGCGAAAGCGGAGATGACCGCCGCAGAGATGAGGGCTACTGAAGGGCCGACTGGAGAAACTCCACCCTTCTTTTCAGATAGAGAGTCAACAATTTTCTTCCATTGCTCGTCGCTGCACGCAAATTACAAAACAAGCATCACCGAAGATTGCGCTTCAACCAACCTCAAGTGCCCCCAGTGTATCCTGCCGCATTGATGCATGTTGCAGTGGCGAACAGCTGATTCTCACTCGAATGGTGGTGAGCCTGCTGCCAAAGGAGCAGGGTTTGTCAAGCAAATGACAGCATCTGTCGTGCCTGCCGCAAGCCTGCGTCCACCAACACCTCCTGCATTAGGGCACTGGAGTAGTACGCAACTAACAACGGGGCTGGGTTTGGGGTTGTATAGGGCGACAAAGGAGACGGCCCTGTCATTGTACACAGCGGGGTTGTTCAACGCTTGAAATGTTGGGGGAATTTTATCGTTGAACTGCGAAAGTCCGCCTTTCCAGTACTCCAGAGCATCGCTGCACTCTTTTTTGCCGTCGGTGACGGGGTAGTAGGCAAAGTTGCCAGTTAGCTTGACAGCTTCGGTAACACTCTTGGCCCTTGCTCCCTGTACGCAGCGAAAGATTAGAAATTGAGGAGGGCGTAGTTCCTTGTTTAAAGAGATAAGCTGCTCAGAACACCTGCTACATGACAATGCAGTGGACGACTACAATGCAGAGGACGGCTTACTCCTAAGACTTTGGGACATATTTCCGTCTTCCACAGAGTTTCAGCCACTGGTGCCGTCCTGGCCTCGTGCGAGTATGCTGGTAGAACTACTGCATCTCCAACAGCATTTCCAAATTCAGGAAGCCCTGCTGCTTTTCTGAGCTCGTTCATCGCCTCTCTACAGTCCAGCGTTTCTGATAACATTTCCGCACACAACATGCAAAAGAAGAATGCACGCTGTTTTGGGAAGTACTCAGATGCTGTCAGACCAAAAACGGCTAGCGGAAAAGCCCACCTGCTGTTGGGTATGTATCCTGAGCTCTGGCTGCTTGCTGCCCGAAGAGCAGTGACAGAGAAAGAAGAGAAACAAAAGAGAGACGAGCCATTTTGAGCAAATATGACTGTACAGTAACTGTATAAAATGCAAAAATGACTGTACAGAAACTGTAAAATGCAGATAAATATGTTTTGACAGATATGAAAAGAGTTCTGGCGGGCTGTCGACAGATGACAGCGAGGTTGACAGCTGCTGCCCTAGCTGGCGCGCCGGTGCTGGCGATTGGAAGCACGCTACGGCTTGCTGCCTCGCATAGTGGGCAGCAAATAGTAGATAGAAAGTGAAAATATAATTTCGCAAGAGTTTTATTTGAAATATCATGCAAAAATGTGCAGATTTAGTAGGGCTGCGGCTCTAGACCTAAACGCTCTGTTCAGGTTCTGCGCAACACCCTACGTCACCATCAGGTGTGTGCAGGGAATGCCAACGCAAACGAGACTGCACTCCAGAAAGCGGTCTCGGCCCACTTGAATGGATTTAAGGGCAAAAGTGAAATTGAAAATTCATCTCTTTGACGCTGCTGTCAGCGTTCATTGTTCCACGCCTTGCGCCATTCCTGCCGCCGCCCCCAGCGCAGGTTACCTCCAGGTGACGCTGTCACTCTCATGAAACTGCCAGAAGAACAGCTTACACCCGAACATATCCCTCTCTTGCTGGCAAAATAATGTGAGTATCAGAAAAGTGAAGCTTGAAAATGTGGCATTTGCACTGAAAGCAAGAAAATACCAGCGACCCGCGGTCACTCCACTGTTTCTCACTTCGGTTCTCGGGCTCTCTGCCTGAGACGTTGCTGTGACGAATCAGTCTCACGAATTTGCCACTTCATAGCATATATTTGGAGCTAGATGATTATTGCTTGATAGATCTAGAGCGAATGGGATGATTTCAGTCCGAAAGTGCTGGGGTTTGGTCCATTGAACAGCTGAACCTTGCTGCCAGATTTTGAGAAGAGTAGCTCGCCGGGCTCGCAGTCGAGTCCTGTGTCTACAAGTGTTACATGCATAAAAAATGGACACCTCTGTGAAGCTGAAGTGCATGTGAAGATAAATTGGCAGCTCCATGCTGCAATCTTGCGTTGAGGGCAAAGAGTTCTGGAGTGCACGAGGGGTGTAGAGCCAGATACCACGGTGGCGTAGAAAACCTGCACTAGACAGAAAAGATCAACTCAAATGCAGAATATCAATCAATGAATTATCAGAAAGATAAGGAAGAGACAGGTCCCCGACGGTGTCTAGACACAGCACGCTCAGCTGGACGGACCGGTAAGGCACGAGTTCAAAGCAGTAGTGAGACAAACAGGGCACGCACACGGGAGCAGCATGATCAAGTTTTTCCATAAGGTGGCAAAAAATGCGGCTGCTTCAGCGTTTGGTCCTGAAGGGAGCGCACACAAGAAGGGGCTTCAAGCAATCGGCAGGCTATCGAGGAGCAGCGACATCTGGCAGCAACCCTAGAGTACCGTTACCTTGACAAAAACGATGTTTTGAGGCAGCTGGACTAAGTCGAGGCGCCAATGAACGCCAGTTCCGCTGGCCCGCCCGAGGAAGTGATAACGGCTTATCTGACATGTGTGAAGTGTATAAAGAGGCCCTGAAGAATTCTCCTTCGGGCTAGATAGAGGGGAGCGTGGTCCCTCATACCAGCTGCTAATATACCTTGAAACCAGCTCGTCAACTGACGTGATGCCCGCCCTGACGATAGGGTACGCAGGCCTTTTGGACGTTACTCTCGACCCCCAAAAAACCGACTATAGCTATGAACAGCTACACTGCAGCAGTCACAGAGCAGCTGCTTGGGCACGCCGAATGTGAGGCAACAGTTGGGAGACGAAAGCGGACTCAATGAAGGGTCGCTACAGACAGAAAATGAACTTGGAGCTACGAGGAGGGTTGAAGGTGCTTCTGGTATGAGCGGAAAGAACAGGCACTCTCGCGGAACTTCTGGTGTAACGAGCGAGAATAAAAAAAGGAAAGCAATGCGTAGAAGAAGAAAGGCTGGCTGACTAGGCTCGTGCGTGCAAGCCTTGCCAGAACACAGCCATCAAACTGCGGAGGAAAGGGACCACTACACGAGAGAGGCAATTGTAAAACAGGAAACTGTGGGCGTTGGAGGAGACTACTACGCTAGAGTACAGACGTCTGGTAAGGGACGAATGTGAACTGTGGCGTTACGATCCACTACTTTCAATCTGGCCAACTGGAGGAAGCACCTACGAGTGTAAGGGATTATAGAGGATCATCAACCTGACAACATGGAAGTGCCTCCTCCCCCGCTTACAGAAGGAAGCAGCCACTATCCATAAATTCAGCAGCCTGGAGTAAAAGATCCTAAATCTAGTGATACGGGAGCGCAGTAGGGAAAAGCAAAGCAAAGTAAAAGTGGAATCGCTCCTACGGACGCAGAGCATGTGTGCCGGGATGGTAGAACCAGATTTAGTGTAGCGAAAGATCAGGTGAAGGCTAGGATATCCTCTGTAGCAAAGGCATGATAACAAAAATTCAGTCAGAGATTCTTAAATACACTGCGAAGCTCTCTTGGGAACTGCCACATCGCCCGGAGTTTTTAGCCAAGCTGCTGTAGAACGGCTGTAGCTTACTCAGAGTGGGCAGACCTTCTACGATTCGACTTTTAAGCTTGATAAACGGAGAAAAACTGTGCATCTACTGGGTGAATACGCGCTTAGCGGCAGTGGTGGTGTCAATGTTTCAGGGTTGACTTTCGTGTACGACGTGCTCTGACGTTGTGGTTGGACTCGTTCACGATGCACAAGAAGGCCTGATATTTCCAATCTGATTAGCTGACAGCCTAATCTACTTGTGCCCCATTTGTAGATGGTGTGGTCTGCTGGTAGTGTGCACCAGCAGAAGGGCAAGCAAAAGCCTTCAACCTGAGATAGCTTAGCAGAAAGCTACATTCTTGACGTGGAAGGGAGGTCGCGTGTAGTGAATTCACTGCACAGTCCTTTAGCTGCCCTCATTATTATCACTGAGTATTGCATTTCCCTAGACAAGCCAGTGCCTAGTTTTGAACGTCTTGGGGATTGGTGCTGCCATGCAATAAATTCCAAGTGAAAGTGTTTGATAGAATTGCATTCAGTCAATTTGGTGTTACAATCTGCCGCGTTTGTTGCCTCTGTGGATTTCGAAATCTTGTGTTATGAACTTGTATGTAGTTCTTGCACCTGCACATATGCATAAGCTAGTACAATGTGATAATTTAAATACTGGACTTGCAGAAATCCAGTAGGATACGCTAAATTTTGTTCGGACCGAGGATGCAGCGAATGCAAGCCTCAGCCAGTGTATGGCACTACCGTGCCACGTGCAAAACAGGAGCTTGCGTATGATTTGCCGACTAAGGGTATCTTAAGGACCAAAACATTAATTCTGCATACACGCAGGAGCCTGCCAAGGGGGACGCAGTTCCTGTGCAAACCAGGGGCTATGGTACCAATGAAGAGTCGAAGTTGCCCTTAACCTAGTACAGGCAATTATATACATTAGTTCAGTGATCGTAGCGAGACATAAGCGCATTTAGATGGCAGGAAAGTAACCTTATGTGCAACCATTAAGGATATAAGCCTCAAGCGACACCATTGAGGGTACTGTGAGGTACCTCGTAAAATTGAGCAGCTTATGTGCTTCCACATACAAAAACATACTTTTACTGCGGCCTTTTGTCAATGTTAACGATTAAAATTGTTAAATGGCCGTTAGTTCCCTCTTGGCTCCCGAAATACACTCGTGTTCAAGGGACACTATCTCCAGGCAAGCCTTGTTCTTGGCTCACGCGAGGCAAGGTTATGGCGGCTGCAACAGCGTGGGGCAGAGACGGCATCTGCCCCACGTCGTCCGTACCTAGAGGAGGTGCAGCTTGGGAAGAAAACATGACGCCGGTGTTGGGGCATGACGAGGAAGTTGCGTCTCTTTGTCTGATCATGGGTGCAACACTTGCGCTGCGGGAAACTAGGCACTCACACACGCGCGGCCCACGCGAGGTACGCAGCTACGCAGAGGCCTAACTTTCGAGCAGTGATGGCACGCCTATCCATCAACGGAATACGTTCAACTGCTTTGCTACGAAGAGAGGAGGATAAAGTGAAAGGGGATCGTTGAAGAGGATGCTTTGCTGAAAAGCCGGGAAGCATAGAGAAGCTTCGCGAAGCGGCAGGTCTCTTTCGCTCCATCTGCGTGGCTTCATGAAAGAAAAGAGCAGTCTCATCCTTCTTATTCTGTTCTAACAGACGAACGTCTCAACAGTTTATATATGTTCTTTGGTGCCTCGAGCAATAAAAACATACAGAGCATTTTTGGGTATGTGGAGCCTAGACAAGTTGGCAGGCGCGAAACAGGCAGACGAATGCACACTACGCGCTCGCGAGTCAGGCTGCACTGCGGTTAACGTCTGCCTGTTTCGCGTGGGCCATAACTCACGGCCCACAGAAAGAGAGGTTGCTGCTGCCTGTGTTCCGGCTTAGGTTAGCAGTAAGCCTAACAGTTAACAACATTGCAGCCCGACTCGCGAGCGCCTAGTATGCGTTCGTCTGCCTGCTTTGCATGGGCCATAACTCTTGCCGCTGCTGTTCTTTGACCAAAAGCCCTTGTCCATGACAGTGACCAGCTTCTTTCTTCTTCAAGAACTTCGTTCAAATTTACGTAAGCAGCAGCCTCCGATATTTTGTTGTCAAGACCGCGCAGACACCCTGATTAGGTCTCAAAAGCATATAACCGCTATCTAACCTGCACCGTAACTCCACGGCAGGGTTCTCCCACATCCGCAACTGTGCATCTTGGCACAAGAACGTCCCATGCTAAAGTAAACTTCCATTCTTTTCCACTGGATTTAGCTGACTTCACGAAAAGAAGTAATACAATAAGCCTTCAGAAAAAAAGTGAAAACAATGGGAATCAACCTCAGTGTTGGAGCCCAATAATCCACCTGCTTACTAATGGAAACAGGGGATAATTTGCCACACTTGAAGAACCAAGGAATATGAGTGGGGATTTAGGCAGGAACTCGTCTTCAGCAGCCAGTAACAACTGGGAATTC